CTTTATCATTTGGGTGTAGTTCTATCCATTTATCGATGACCCTTGAAACAGCCATTTCAAATTTCTCAGTCTCTTTTTTCAGTTCCTCCAACTTCTCCTTTATCTGCTTCTCGATTAATGGCTTCCTTTCGGTTTTCCATTGTTCTCTTTTTTCCGTCAGCTGTTTTAGTTCATTTCTCATCGCAGGCTCCTCTTTGGAAAACAATGTTAATACTTGCTCATCCTTCTTGGTGTTAAAACGTAGCATCCGCTGCATGCATATTTCATCTTCTTCTTCTTTAAGGCAAAGTTCATCCGGATATAATTCTTTGAACTCTTCTATTGCTTTTAATTTGATCCAGCTGTCTGGGATCTTGTTTTTCAAAAGCTCTTTCAAGAGTGCTTCCCTTGTTTGTGCCCTGCTGTCATCACTATTTTCTTCTCCCAGGCGTCTCGCTAGGTTCTCAAGATCTGCTAACAATTCCTTAAAATAATCAGTCTTTAATGTGGTTACCTCGTTCCGTGAATTCTGCGCTTTAAAAAATGATCCAGCTGTTTCTACATCTTTGTTTGCTGATTTTTTAAAGGCTCCACAGACATGGACTATTAAAACCTTTGCTTTACTGTAAACCTTTGTTGGTCGGTGTCTGGCGTCCGATAACTTTTCAATTTCTTTTAACGGAAGAGCAGCGCGAAGTGTCCGTGGTTTTGTTGCCTTCTCTAAGAATTCTGCAAAGTCATACAGTTTTAGCGCCTCAAAAACTTCCTTCAGTAGCTTGACTGGGGTATCGGGAAAAATTGTTCCAATGCTCCTTCGGTCGAGTTCGTCGTGCAGTAAGTCAGGATCAAGCCCAAATGAACGGTAAAATCGGTTTAGAACATCTTTGTTCCTATAAAGCTTGGACGTCAGTTCCTCAGTCAATTCCATACTTAGATCTTTCAAGCACAGCTTGGAGGTGGAATCTGCAAATACAAGGCAAAAACAAAATCTGAAATTAACAAAAATGCTGACTTTAAAAAAAGGATAAGTTGTCGTCCATTAAAAAGGATTGGGCAATGACATTAGTATGAATTGATTACAGGGGTGTGAATCCAGGGGACTGCCAGGAAATATTAAAGAGACAGATAAAGTGTATATATTTCGTTTACTAAAAAGGAACTTCAAGGCTGAGGCCTAATCCGGGTTTTTAGCGTGTCATTCTGCAGATTTCGCGCACTCTCTTTAGGCATGAGCTCGGTTTTTCCTCTTCACCTGCGTTTTTCCCGCTTGAATAAACCACGAACTGATCCCGATGTAATATCCCTGGGAAGACCCTTGATGACAAATCAGTGTCAACCGCCCTGGGATTGCGGAAGTTGACAAATACTAAAGGGGCTTGGGTTGGGTCCTCTTGGAATTGACTGCGTCTTACCGCTGGTTTCTTCAAATCCAAACTCAGATGGTGCACTATTTGATCCCGGCTTTCCACTGTCGTCCTCTGTAGACACACTGTGTACATCTGTATCCCTGGTTTGCTCTAAGTAATTCGTAATGTAGGATAATTTTTCCTGATCTAGGTATTGAAGTCGCCTCTCTTCCTGGCCATCAGGTTCATCTGAAATCAAAACTGTGGTATCAAAAACACAATGTAAATGACACTGATCGTAAAATTGAGGGACTGTGAACGCGTCTACGCAGGTGCGGTGTCTTGATTTCTGGTCTAGCGAACCTTTTATTAAGATTGGCTTAATAACCTTCAAAGTAAGAATGTAAATTAAAAAGATTATTGCTGCTTCGGAGTGTGCTTTTTTAAGACTATCAATAGCAGGGACCAAAAATGTTTTGGTGAAGAACAAGAACAAACAATACTGTTCAGCCTAACTGCTACCTTGAAGCAGTTTAGCACTGAATAAGTCTCTATCAATGCGCTAGTTGAGCAAAATTTTAAAATTCCTTACGTATTAAGGACTTCTCTCGGCACTTGGGGCTTTGTGATTAACCTGACCACGTTTTGACCTCAACACTAACTGAAAAAAAGCCTATACCTTATACAGGAGCCTACAGACTTACTTACAGATAATTTGTTTCTTAAGTCTTTTTTTAGATGTATTTTGTGAGTGTATAACCTTGTACTTCAACACTTGTTAGCTCGTTCCGGGACTTCTCGTATTCGTCTTCGTCGATGGTCACGATCACTTCCACTTGCTCTCCACCAGCAAGGTCTCTCATTTCATCAGTAACAAATAAGGCCTGCAGGCGCTTTTTCAGCGTCCCATTCTTGTACAATCTCCACAGATGGTCAAGGGCTGTAAGACTTTCTGCTTGAACTTTCAAGTACACACTCCCCTCAGTTATTTGTAGTAGTCTAGCGCCAGCAGGAAGGACGCAGGTATTAACGGCTGTGAGCAGCTGTTCATATGTGCAGCCACGCCTCAGCAGTTGATAGGCGGATGTTAGAACTAAACCTCCTGCAGCCACTTTGAACACCGTTTTGATGTTCAGAACTAAAGATAAGAAAATAGTCAAAGTGTGCTTACAATTAGGTCAAGAGAATGACTGACTGAGTGCCACTTTACCATCCCATTTTTGTTGCACATTGGTTAACTCAATAACCACTGTAGTTAAGGTTTAAAAAAAATTCTCCCCTGAAACCCCTAACCCGTCGTTAAGTGTTCTAAGTGTTTGCGTGACACTTATCCTTAGCAAAGAAATGACTTTCAAATGGCCAACTGCTGCTTCAAGTCAAACAAATATGTCTCCCAAGCATTACATCAAACATTACAAAATGAACTTTGAAAAACTGTAAGGCTAACAAATTTTCAAAAATCATAATTACAATCACAATCCATTTTTTTCAAACATCATAATTACAATCACAATCGATTTTGAACTCCTTAAAATCTGTCCATCCGTACCTTCTTTGGTGTAGGCCATGTCATTTACACGGTTTTTTAACTGGTTTTTATAATTATTTTTTCACTCAAGCAGTTTTGACTGAAGTGATAAATTTATAATTGGTGACACAGCTCCTTCGAAGAGTTTAGTCAACATCTCTGACCACCAGACATAAAAAAGGATGTGTTTGTTTCATTGAGTTTTCTCAACACAAAACTAAAAAATCCGTTATATTTGAGATATTTAAGATGACCCATAAAATTTTTGGATATGCATGATCATAACACACCTTTTTAGCACAGGAGAGTTTATACACACCAATCCAACACCTATCTCAGACTAAAAAACGTTGAATTAATTGGAACCCCATCACAGAGCAGGGGAAGGTAAAAAATGGGATCTAATCCATCGGCACTTACACGACTTGCACTGTACCCGTCGAGCTTATATAACTGGTATAAGATAGTACCCGTATCCGCGAAAAGATCAAAGTTCAAGACCTAAATCGAGTACGTCTGCTAATTAACACGGTCTAGGAATATGCATTTGATGAAAATCACCAACCCAGCGGGTTCAACCCACAGGGACTATGCTACATAAGTCTCTGTGAGTAAGAACATTTATTCTTCACTTAGTGACCGATCGTTTATTACGTCCCAGAGGAGAGGGAGAGGGGGGGGGTACAATTTTATTTTTTCAGAGGCTTTTTTTTTTTTTTGGGGGGGGGGGCTTTTATTAAAAAATAAAAAAATAGGGTGTGTTGGTTGTGATAAACACAAGTCAGCATTTCTTTAAAATATTGAAACAATATATTAGTTTATTGTCAAATACTGTCTCACTAAATAATAAAAAATAAATTAGATTTGACGCTTTTTGTACATATAAATGTGAGGGGGTTGAAGTTTTAAGACACAGGACTGCCTTCTATGTAAAAGTTGTCAAACTATATTATGATTGAAGCAATCTACGTTTCCTTCAAAAGTAGACAAAAAATACGCTTTGGCGGTTCTTTGTCAGCAACAAAATGTTACCCATATAAAGCTTGGCCCAGGAACCTATCAGCTACTTCTACTAGCAGGAATGTAGCGTGTATGTGAGCACATACGTCTCGTATGCATGCAGCTGAAATCTGGAAAAAAAAATGTCGATTTCTTTTTTTACTTCCTGAAAGCCTTTTTTTTCATTAAATCGGTAAAAATATTTCTCATTATATTGTTGTTTTTGTGTTAGAATTTTCTTTATCCTTTTACTGATTAAGTGGAGTGAAATGGATCCGAATGTGAAACCACAGACCGTGGTTGTGACTTTTGACCAAGCCAACTACAATTCTATCCCGGAGTATAATGTAGCTCCCATAACTTTGTTGACTTCTCCTGCTGTGTCAACATGCCCAGCTGAGCGTCGCTTCAGCGGTATGAAGAGACTGCAAACTCCTTTACGAAGGACCATGACAGACGAGAGATTGAGCTATCTTGCAATTCTGCACATACACAAGCACACGGTTGTAATTGATATTGATGGCATTATAACATAATTTGCCCGTCTGAGCGGTACACAGCTCGCCCTTTGCTTGTAACGTCCTTGATGGCGTCATTTTTTTTACCTTTTTTTGCTGGAAACAGTCTGTACCTTAGATGGGTAAAATAATTATTATTAAACAACTTATTACTGCAATTTCCTTCGTCTTTATTTACTGAAAATGTCCTGCGGAAAACGCAGGTGATGGCACTTCCGAGATCCCAAATTTGAAAATTTTCTGGGGGAGCATGCCCCCAGACTACCCCAGTTTTGGGGCGTCTTCGGCGCGTTAACTTTTCTTCCCCAACGTGTACCTTCAAAATCTCACGCTACGCTGACTACCGGTACCTTGTACCTCATGAAATCAATGCCCAAGGATGGAAGAAGAGACTTTGTCTAGAAGGAAATAATTAGTTGCAAGAATACCTGGATCGATGCGACAAAACGTTTGTCAGTTATACAGTGACATTAAAACCCCAGAAAACGCCTGCACATTTATTGTATGTCAAGGTTTGGAAGGTCAGGAAAACGGATGCGAAACAACATGAATTAATTAACTGATTCAGTTAAGTGATAGCTTTTGGCACAATTTTAATAATGATTTGAACAGCCATTGTGGACCTCTGCATTTGTCTTCAACTTTAGTTTAAAAGCAAAAGGTATTCGTTAAAAGTGCCTCATACATTGCAATAAAACGAACGGCCAAATACAGTCGCCTAGCAAAACGAAACATCACGATGGGGTCTCATCCGTAGTATGAAATGTTGATAATTTCGAGCAACCACCTCTAAACTATAAAAAGTCTATCGATTACTTAGCTTGCCATAAATGACCCACCTTATCACTTAAATTTCCTTGTTCTTTAAAAGCCTTTATTTTAAAAAACCTAGTCCAGAGCCGGATCTGTTTTGGAACTTTCTCTCACTTCCGTAATTCATAGTCACTGTATGGTTATTTAATCTTACCTCCGCTTGCCGACGACACGATGGCCGCTGCTTGAGCTAAAAGAAAACAGACAAAACTTCGTTACGGAACATCGTCAGCATTAGAAAAAATGAACGTAAAACCTTAAAAGAGCCAAAGAAATAGCATATCAACGCTTCAATAGATCAGTAAACACCTTTTCGTCTTTCAAACTTGTTTTCAAGGGTTCTTCGTTCTTCGAACTCGTTTACTTTCTCAAGCAAATCTCGTTTCTCTGTTTGGGTCAAAATCGCCTTTAGGATGCTGAGATGGTTGACTCTTAGACAGTTGTTGTTTTTTAGCTCCTCAAACAGAGATCGAACGTCGTGGATGCTGCCTTGCCTGTCGTGTGGTATCTTTGCTTTGCAAATCGAGACGAGTCGTTCCAGATCATTTAGCTCGTCGAGCGCCTGAATAATTTGCTCAAGCAATCCATCATATTCTCTTCTTTTGGTCTCAAACTTTTCAACCTTTTCTAATAGAGACCATTCCTCTAAACCTTCCAGTAGATCCTTTAATACGTCCAATTTGTCAGGTCCTAGAAATTCCTTCTCTTCTAGTTCTTCAAACAAGTAGACTACATCTTGTAAGTTCTCTTCGGTCCGAGGCGCCACCTTATCCCTGCACATGAAAAGTAATTGCTCGACTGCATTCAATTCGTTAACTCTCCGGCGTACTTTGTAAAGCAAATTATTGTATTCGATGGCTGACATTTTCCTAAATTACGACGATTAATAGTGATTCAGTCCACTGCTGTGGTTATCGCAGTACCAAATGGAGTAATCATGGCCGGCTGTCAGCGCGTCTCTTATTGTACCCCGCTAACTGCGGGCAAATGATTCATGGGAGTCTCCATATAGACTGCCTGATATGTTGTATACCACTATATATCTTATGTACCTATGTTTACCCTAGTCATACTGTATACCCTGTATACCCCTATATATCCTGTGTACCCATGTTTACCCTAGTAATACTGTATACCCTAGTATTATAACCTATTGCACTAATATATTAGGGAGTCTATATGGAGACTGCCTAACTGCGGGTGTCGTAGGCGATGACGTTTGTCACGCGAACAGAAACTAATTTTGCAACATTGGTCACGCGAACATGAACTTATTTTAAAACATTGGTCACGCGAACATATTTTTTCAGATTATTTTTTCCGTATTACCCGCAAAAGTCAAAACTGTAGTCAAACCCAACCCCTTGTTCATAGATTCAGACTTCAGACCCCTCTCAGGATTTAAACATGTTCAGTTAGGTCAAAAGACGCCTTGTTGTTCAGTTTCATGTCGCACGATTATTATTTAAAAATTCTTTTGACTGGTAAGATTCCAGATTCAAATGCCCAGGTCAGTTTCCTTCCTCTTTGTTCAAATGAAATTATACCCAGTAAGTTTGGAGCGATAAAAGGAGCCATATATGTGGATATGATTTCTTTCCCTAAAAAAGTAGATCTTGTAGTTCTCCTTTTTAACTGTTAAAGCACTGTTGCTATTGTTGCTGGTCAGGTTGGAAAGTGTGGTGTATTATCGTGAAATCGAAGGCTCTGTGGCTAGCAACGGAACCGTCAAGTAAAAAAAAAAAAAATAGAAAACCTGAACATTTTGTAATTTGTAGGTTCTTGGTTTCCTCCATTTAAAGTAACACAGGTTATAGAAGAGATAATATTTAGAAAGAAACATGGAACATACAGAAGGTAGAAGGCTCAGTATAGTGGAACAGGTTATGGCGTACTGAGCTTTGGAAATGCGCCATATAACTACGACATCATCATCATCGTCATTGTCATCGTCGTCATCATCATCATCATCAGAGTTAACACTCCTCTACTGATACAGTATAGCCAACTACAAAGCAAATTTACGCGGTAAGGGTATGAAGTTGTAAAGGGCCTCCAAGATGGCCGCCCGTAACACAAAGTCTTCGATCACGATGATCTTACGGAAAATAGGGGGCAATAAGCAGTCTTCAAAAAAGGGGGTTTCTTAACATAAGTAGTTCAGTGTTCTAATAACGTGTGTACTTTATATGCTGGTCCGGTCTTATTCGTCTCAGGATGAGTTGAATCGAAAAGTTAAAATGTGCCATAAAGGATACATGAAACCAAGGAAACGAAGAAATTTTGGGGTCTTTGGGCTGGCACGTCGGTTCTCCAC